AAGCATTTCTAAATAGTATTAGTGATTTATGATCAAAAATTCTAAAAATTTTAAACTTGAACTTCCATTATCGAAGATGAGAGTGAAAACTTCCAAATTAATTTTTTTATTACATTTTGTAAAACAATAAGGGATAAAAATTCAGATTTAAAGAAGAATCTTATAAACTCGTGTTCGCAATTTATAACCAAAAATATTAAAAATATGCCCTGTTTGAAAATTAAATTTTCACTTTGAATAGAAATAACGTTTGGTGAATTCATTGAGTTTTGTACAGTTTTTCTCAATCAAATTTCTCCGAGCTGTCTCGTGCGTTCCTCCATAAAACTGTCGCTTTTCTTCACCGGTAGTCTCCCGGAGCAAAGTGCAAATGTACGCCGTCTGAATTATTTTCCAAGAAGTTTCCGCGTCGCGGCGACCGGCAAATCGTTAATGCTTTATCGCGATGCATCGCGCGGCAACGCGAATCGGGGTAGTTTGACGTTCGCTTGTTCGACGCGACCCCGAATTTTGAGCGGAACGTCGCGTCGGGTAAATTCGTCTTGTCGCCGCGCATTTCTTGGCGAATAAACTTTTCAAGAACCGACCAGCAAGATGCTCCGCGAATTATACCCGATAACAAAACTTAAGAATTCATGGATAAGAACTCTTTGCTTTCCGGACGCCGCAAATGAACATGAAATGGATTTTGAAAACTTGGAAGAATACCTCGGCGACGGTATTAAACTGTAATCACTAATAAGGCAAGAAACGTAATTAAAAGAGATTATATAATTCCTCGAGTTAATTATTACGTTACTTAAATGTCAATTTAAAGTGCCGTTGACACGTCGTTCTTGTAATTTTTCAGAATCTTCCTTTTGCAGATTTAAGAACAGCGGAATCGCGACGGAGAGACTGATTTTTATTTTCATATCGCGCGACAATCGATTCTCGATAATTTGCAATAATTTGGCAGAATCGACAACACGGGCAATCATTTCTTCTCTCGTTTCTCTCTCTCTCTCTCTCTCTCTCTCTCTCTCTCTCTCTCTCTCTCTCTCTCCCTCTCTTTTTCTCTCTGTCTCTTTTATTCTAATTTGTTGGCAATTTCCGATCGTATTCACTCGTGTCCTCCAAATATATGATCTTCGATTACGGCGTTAAAGTGAAATTACGCGCGATACAACGACAGATATGAATATTATACGACTAACAAAATGAGATAATTTGATCGCATTTTCATTGGACACGTCAGTAATTTGTCAGCAATTTGGCCACCTCATTCTTAGTTACAAATTATTCGTTAGAAAGTGACTCATGGTCCAATTAAAGAATTTCACAAATATTTACAGAAAGAATAAGAATTTTAGAAACAATTTTTACATAACTTTTCCTTCAAATTATTTAATTTAAATTCCATTATAATAAGAAAATATTACAGCATTGATCAATATAAATAAAAATAAATTAAATAACTGTTTTAAAAAAGAGAGTGAAGGAATCGTGCTTTTTTTACCCAATATTACGAATAATTTCAATATAAATTGAGTATTCACAGAAATAACTTTGGTATAGCTACAGTTTCCAAATTTTCGAGTAACAGACTCGTAGGTCCCAATTTATCATCGTCAGATAAATAAATCGTCTCGATTACCGGAAGAGGCGCACAAAGTGCCTCGTGGCTCTTACAAGTCGAT